TACCCCCCAGGGATTCCAACCCTACGGTAGCACATTGCACTACAGAGGGAGGATTGATAGATACCATATCAAGTGCGACAGTGATCTCAGCTTTGGGTAATTCTTCTCCTTGACCCATATATATGTGTGTATAGGCACCTTATATTAAAAGTGACCTTTTTCACGTCCTACCTGCGCGGAGAGGCGAGTAAATACAATCAAGGTACCGAATTCTCAATTCCCGACCTTCAAACTGAGGAATAAAAGTATACGGCTAAATTTATTATGGATGCCTCGTCCCTGAGGCAGCATCTTCCTCATTGCACTAAATAGAAAAAGACTGTGGATATCGACGCCAACGTAACAGTGGTCGCAAGTACTGGCCAATTTTTACCCTTGTACGGCACCCCAAATTAAGTCGACCTTGTGCCACATCCTAACACCGTCGGGAGATGGGTAAATCACAACAATCACAAGAATCCAGTTCAAACTCCTTCTCGGTATTTTGAACAGGAGTAGAGGTTTATCCCTTGTTTCCTGTTTAAGATTTCCAGTTACTTCTAAAGTCGACTTCAACTCTATTCTTCTAACGTCTCCGCCTAAAATTCTGAACTTTTATTTACTATTTATTTACATTTTTTCCTCAATAGGAGTAGATAGGTTTGTCTATCGTCTGGTTCACACTTCTCTCCGGACTCTTGAACAAGAGTAGAGGCTTATCCCTTATTTCTTGCTTAGGATTGGGTTTCCGATTCCGTCCAATGTATTTTTCCCTGTCTTTTACTTCCAGTGGTACCTTGTATCTTTGTGGTATCATCACCTTTCTTGGAGTAATGTCTCTTACTCTGTAACTCTCTACCTTGAGTGGCTCTTAGGACTTTTACAGGGTGAACAAGAAGCGTTTTTACTCGACCTTCGGTCCTGGATCAAAATGTAGTATCTGTTTCCCTCTTCGCTATCGTGGTTCTGTTTAGTGGCTCACTGCCTCCACTTAGGTTCATATCACAAACTTCATTCAGTAATTCTCTACCTTGATTGACTCTTGCGCTTTATACTGGGTGAATTTTAATTTTCTTTTTGAAGTACATGGCAAAGCAATAAGGAATGCCTGGTCACAGGGATCCCAACCCTGCAGCAGCACCTCCCTCGTTGCAATAAAAGAGGGAAGGTTGGTGGATAACAACGCAAACATGATATTAATAAGTTTAAAGGCACCCTATGTTACACCGACTACGTATCTGTCATATCCTTTCATCGTGGGGGTGGGTATTTTAAATACCCCCCCCACACACACACACACACTCACGGATATATGCTTTTTCTTCGTGATTCCTTTTCTGGACTTTCTACTCTTCATTTCTGTGAAATGTCGATCTCGTATAATTTAATTTAAAACAAGCAATTTACTCAAATTAATTTGTGGTGACATTTCTAAATGATTTCGAACGTTTTCCATTTTTATTAACTTTAATCCTTCCATTTGAATATATCTTCATTTTCTGGCCGCCTGTTTTTTGTTTTTTTTTCTTTCTTTTTTTTTTCCTTTAACTTTTCATTTACAAACCTTTCTCTCCTTCTTTTCTCTTCTCTGGTTGTCTTCTCTTTCTTATTTTTAAAATGTTCTTAAACTTCTTTCTTATATTTTTTAAGCATCTTTTTTCTTCCTCCATCTTTCTCTTTTGCTGTCATCTTTTTATTGTTCCACTTTTCTCCCATATTCTTTTTTTTTGTTGTTTCTCTCTCACTCTTTCGCTCTCACACACTCTATTTTTCCTTTGAATTCTTCTTTTTCTATTATCTATTTGATTTTCACGCACCTCTTTTGTCTTTCCTTCTCTCTTTCTTTTCTCCCACTTCTCCCTTTCATTTTCTCCGTTGATGTCTTCTCTTTCCTTCCCTTTTCTCGTTTGCCTTTTGCTCTCTATTTTTTCTTTTTTGATTCCCCATCTTCCTCACTATTTTCCTTTAAATTCTTCTCTTCCTTCTTATATTCTCTATTTGACTTTCACTCGCTTCTTTTTTCATTCTCTCGTTTTCCTTTCATATTACCCTTTCTCTTTCTCTTTGCGCGTTTCTAATTCAATCTCTTCTTACTCTTTCTTCTCTTTTCTTATTTTCATTTACCATTTACTTCTTCTTCTTCTTCTTCGCGCCTCTTTCTCTCCCCATCTCTCATCTCTGTGATTGTTGCTTCTTCCCTTCCTCATCCCTCTTTAATTCATCTAATGTCTGTTCTCCCAAGACTCTTGTCACCTTTTCATTCTCAGTTTCCATTTCTGTCAGCCGCTTGTCATACCGCATTCCTTTCACTTGTTCGTCTGTCTTTTCTTCCAGTCTCTTCTATCTTCCCAATCTCGCAGCGCATGCCTTGCTTTTTCTTTCAAAATCTTTCAACAATATTCCTTCATTTGACAACTATCATTCCCATAGCAGCTCAAGAGAAGATTTAAAAAGAGACAAAAAACGATGTTAACAAAGTTAAACTCTTCCTATATATAAAGAAAACAGAAAAGAAGACAATGCTCTTCTTTCCACTGACTCAACACTGATAGTTCTAGGGACTGTCGGGAATGAAGACAATTGTTCCCGGCATTTAGAAACTTATGTACTTCCGTCTCGCTGCTTTTTGTCTTTCCTCTCCACTTTCACTTTCACTTTCGGTTTCAATGGAACTGCCACTGCTGCTTTTGTCAGGCGGAAGGAAGTGGAAGGATTATGTACGGTGAGAACCAATCAAACCTGAAAGGGATAGAATGCGTAGCAGTTGAACGGAAGAGGGCGACACCGAATAAATGACTCACTGATTGTAGATTTCGAGACGGGAGGGGGGAGAACTTGCAGCAAAATGAAATGAAAGATTCGTGCGGTCGGATAATTGCTCACGTGCTGACCCCTGGCGGTCGGAGAACAGATGTGCTCGTTTTAAGTTGATGCGATTTCTACTCTTTAAAAAATAGATAAACAATAAAAGAAAAATCTCGAAACGCAACACTATTTTTTATTTTATTTTATTTTTATTTTTTTTTATTTTATTTTATTCTACTTTTCCGTTAATTCCTTTGGTCGAGAAAATCTTTCATGATCTTTGGTTTTCCAATAAGGAAATCCGTCGTAGATCCGTGAAGAAGTCCCAAGAGCAAAACTTTCACTTGAGAGAGGTTCGTCATACATAATACGTTTCATTTACAAAAGCTGTTTTATTTGTTTTTGGGTTTTTTCAAATCCATGCCTTCCAAGCTTCTTAACTCACGTATATCTTGTTTACAAGACTACTTCATTCTTCTGAATCGGTGATTTCTCGAAAGTGAAGTAATTTTGGAGACCAGTGGGTAAGAAGATCACAATGACTGATAAGATTAATGCTTTAAGCACATCACCACCAATGCCCTAATACCAATAATAATGACATTGGTGATAACGCTTTTATTTACCGTATAACGCTTAGTGAACATCATCTGACATCAGAAATTTACATCGATGTTTAAGATTTTTTAGATCTAATTTTTCTTTATTTGGACCATTTTTTGGTGTCTGGAGATAATTTTAGTATAAAATATCTAATGCATTCGGAGCGCCTACGGTTTTCACAAACCATTATCAAAGAATTTTTCATGTGTGAAGTTGATAGGTTTGGGACGAGGTACATGCAATGTGATTTTTAGTAGATTTCATGTATTGCGTATAAGCGAGTCGATATGTGTCATGTGCTTGTTTTTTAATCTACAATATCTTACATATACAAACACAACACACACACACACACATATATATATATATATATATATATATATATATATATATATATATATATATATATATATATAGAGAGAGAGAGAGAAAGGTTTCGATGGATAAATTGCTGCCATTTTATATTTTTAATTTTTACATGCGTGTTTTTTGTTTTGCATTTTGCCAACTGCATAATACAGTAGAGTCAGTTGGGCACCGTCTGTGAGGGAAAGATCACTAATTCACTCCGACAGAAATTTGAAAACGGCAAGCCGTACTGCTTGGCATTCGCTCCGAAAGTTCGAATACGAATGGGAACAGTGCAGAGGATCCGGAGAGAGTTGGATGAGTCTAATGGTGATTACAAAGGTATTTAGTGTGATCATTAATGATGGTAACGTTATGCCTCTATTCATCTTTCCACAGAGACTCAGACTTAACACGGAGCCCTAGATCGTATTTTGAGGAAGTAGTGTTGTCCTGGGTGAAGAGGGTAGCTGCTGGAAGACGCTATGCTTAGCAACAGGAATCTGCACCATGACAAACAAGCAGAAGAACCCAGCCATGGCTTTCAGGTAATTTCTGCGGCCACATCACCCCCTTACATCTGGCCATCTAACTCCCCAGGCTGCAACCACCCTTGACGTTTATGTCAGGGGTGACGTTGAGCGAAAGGCCAACAAAACTCCTTGTAACACCAAAGATGAACTGAAGGCAAGGATTATGGCAGCATTCACTAACTTAAACAAGAAGACTGTCCAGAAGAGTTGCAGGAGATTCCGATGTCGTCTGGAGGCCGAGATTGAAGCCAATGACGACATTATTGAATAGATTTACTCTTTCGGATTTCAAAATATTTTTGTGTAATTTTGGTGAATATATCTTTTAAAAAGAGATGTCAGTGCATGTATGTATATATGAGTATATGGAGGTGTTTATTTAAGCAGTCTAACCATAAATTCGAACTGGATGTGCAACAGAAAATGCAAAAACTGAAAAAAAGTATTAAAAGAGTAAACAGGCAACATTCTCAGTTGTTTTTAAGATAGATAGATAGATAGATAGATAGATAGATAGATAGATAGATAGATAGATAGATGAGATAGATAGATGAACAGACTAGATAGAGATAGATAGATAGATAGATAGATAGATAGATAGATAGATAGATAGATGAACAAACTGATAGATAGATAGATAGATAGATAGATAGATAGATAGATAGATATGAACAGACTGAGATAGATAGATAGATAGATAGATAGATAGATAGATAGATAGATAGATGTGAACAAACTGAGATAGATAGATAGATAGATAGATAGATAGATAGATAGATAGATAGATAGATATGAACAGACTGAGATAGATAGATAGATAGATAGATAGATAGATAGATAGAAAGAAAAAAGAAAGAAAAAGAAAGAAAGAAAGAAAGAAATCGACTAAAATTAAAGTTATTCCTAGTGAACTAGCTAAAATAATGCTGTCAAGTAATAGATAGGTGTGAAAGAAAGAAAGAAAGAAAGAAAGAAAGAAAGAAAATTTTATCTGTTTCTTACTGCTTATCCACCTGTTGCTTGTTATTTATAGCTAAGAAATATTTTTAGATCGTAAACATTTAGGGAGAGGATAAAAATGACTTACTTATACATGTCCTACTAATTAACTCATAAATAGGGAGAAGGGGCGAACTCATAGCTTTCCCAAGGGTATTTGCGTGTGAGCGAATCTAACGAACCCGACTGGAATTGTAATTTCGAGTCGTTATCCATTACAATAACCGCATATCTAAGCTTACATGAAGTAGAATTCCCAAACGGTTACTCATCTATGTGCTGACTAGGCCTGACGTTGCTTAATTTTGGTGATCGTACGAGAACCAGTGTTTCAAAGGAATACGGCCGTAAGCGAAAGAAAGAAAGAATGAAACGTAGCAAATAAAAGAAAAGAACAGTTTAAGAAAGAAAGAAAAGAAGAAACAAAGAAACAAAAGTGACAAAGAAAAAAGAAAAGAAAGAATAAAACATAACAATGAAATATAGCAGGGAATATAGTAAAGAATTAAAGAAATTTAGCACAAAGGGAAAGAAACGTAGAAAAAAAAGAGTGAAGTGCACCAAAGACAGAAAACAGGGTCTAAGAAAGAAAGAAAGAAAGAAAGAAACATAAGAAAAAAGAAAGAAAGAAAGAAAGTAACGAAATGTGGAAACGTAGCAAAGAAAGAAAGAAAGAAAGAAAGAAAGAAAGAAAGAAACGAAACGAAATGTGGAAATGTAGCAAAGAAACAAAAGAAAGAAAGAAAGAAAGAAAGAAAGAAAGAAAGAAAGAAAGAAAGAAAGAAAGAAAGAAACATAAGAAAGAAAGAAAGAAAGAAAGAAAGAAACGAAATGTGGAAACGTAGCAAAGAAACATAAGAAAGAAAGAAAGAAAGAAACATAAGAAAAAAGAAAGAAAGAAAGAAAGTAACGAAATGTGGAAACGTAGCAAAGAAAGAAAGAAAGAAACGAAACGAAACGAAATGTGGAAATGTAGCAAAGAAACAAAAGAAAGAAAGAAAGAAACAAACAAAAGAAAGAAAGAAAGAAAGAAAGAAAGAAAGAAAGAAAGAAAGAAAGAAAAAAAGAAACGAAACGAAACGTGGAAACGTAGCAAAGAAAGAAAGAAAGAAAGAAAGAAACGAAATGTGGAAACGTAGCAAAGAAAGAAAGAAAGAAACGAAACGAAATGTGGAAACGTAGCAAAGAAACAAAAGAAAGAAAGAAAGAAAGAAACATAAGAAAGAAAGAAAGAAAGAAAGAAACGAAACGAAACGTGGAAACGTAGCAAAGAAAGAAAGAAAGAAAGAAAAAATGAAAGAAACAAAAGAAAGAAAGAAAGAAACGAAATGTGGAAACGTAGCAAAGAAAGAAAGAAAGAAAGAAAGAAAGGTCGCAAAAAAGGATGTAATGTATCAAAGTAGCCAGATGGAAAGAAATTTTTCTTGTCCTAGTTTAGACTAATAATTCTGGCAGATGCAAAATATAATAGTTTTCGAATCTCAATAAAGACGTAAAATTAGAATTCAGCATTTTAAGTAAGTAGTAAGATTTCTAATAAAACCGTTAATGGCTTTTTTTTTCAACGGAAAATCTATCTTGATAACATACAATCACATGTCTTTAGACGATCACGCAACAATGAAGAAATCTCTTTTCAAAACTACATAAACATAAAGTGAAGAAAAGTATTCGCTTTTTGGCGCTAAGTTATGTTGCCAAGTCTCAAAGCCATGACTATTTCCGGTGAACTCATAAACATAGTGGGTGGGGAAATGGTCATGTAAGATAATAATTCGTAATTGCTGTTCACGCATATCAGCAGTAACTGAAATATCCATTGACATTTATTAATTTAAAATAAGCGACAGCCGCAGATCAAATGACTTTGGACCAGTTTTCTTCTTCTTGTTGATATTACTGGATGATTATCGACAAGAAACATTATAATGAAAAAACGCCATAAGAAGGTGGTAGAAAAAGAAGCATCGTCATGCTGAAAGAATCCTCCATTTTCAAAGTCTGCCAGATTAGACTGTAGTAAAATAATATAGTTTACGCTGTTTATGTTTCAGTCAACCTTTATAAAACATTTTCTACTACTGTCTTTGATGTAACCCCTAAACCATTCCATGTGTACGACAAAATTTTACCGTCAATGTGTTGTCTCTTGCATTGTTTTTCTCCCCTACTGGTCTTGTATATT